TAACTTTCCAACCTGGAGAAATCACAATACACAATCGACACCAGACAAAATTTTTACCAACAACAAGCCTTTTTAAATTACCATGTAAAACAAGGACCTCTCACAGGCAGTGACCATCTGCCAATTATACTAACACTGTCAACAAGCCCCATACAGTTACCAATAAAAAAGAGACTGAAAATGAGTAAAACAGACTGGGACAGCTTCAAAGACGACTTAGGTAATCACCACTCGATTAACCTACAAGGGAAAACAACAGAAGACATAGACTCAGAAATGGACAGACTGCACTCAGCAATAAAAACATTTATAACCAAACACACTCCTACTTCACACTTTAGAACATTACCCAACAACAGACTACCAGAAGAAGTTAAATTAATCCAGACCCATTACAATGAAATAAACAGGTACAGTATATGGAAAGACACGGCAGTTACAGATGGCTATATACGACGCAGACAGCACTACAGATAAAATTAAGAGACGCATGTAAGGAAGCAAACAATAAAAAATGGAATGATATTATAATGGCGGCTGACAAGACTAAAGACACAAAAACATTTTGGACTTCCATAAACAAGATGATGAGGCATAACAAGCAAAAAACACCATACATTAAAGACCAAAATGGAACAAAACTGCACGAGGAAAGTGAACAAGAGTCAGCATTCAAAAGGGAATGGGTAAAATTTTTTAAAATATCAAATGAGGAAAATGAAGATTTTGATAGTGAACACGAAGAAAGGATAGAAGACGAAATGGGAAGACACATACATAGCATCACCCCAAAGCAATATATAGACTATAATTTATTACCTAATAATCAAATAATAACCATGGGAGAAATGATGCACTGTCTGAGGAAGTTTAAGGAAAAGGCCCCCGGGGTCACAGGTATTACACGAAATATGATCATAAATCTACCTGAAAACATATTAAAAATACAGTGTATACATATATACACACATATATATATATATATATATATATATATATATATATATATATATATATATATATATATATATATATATATATATATATATATATATATATATATATATATATATATATATATATATATATATAATAATAGTAGTAATATAGTAGCAGTAGTATAATACGGAAATATAGTAGGGGTAAAGCTGATCTTACAATAGAATATGTGGTTAGCCCATCACGTTTAAAATATTACTGTAGGGTATCGTTATTTTTCATTTGCGAATAAGCGGAGAATGCTTTGCGAATATCAAACGTGTTAAAATATCAATTGCAGACAAGCGGGGATGCGATTGTGAATAGCGAGTTATTCGCACTTACACAGGCTCTCAGGAATGCAACCCTAACGCACTCTGAGACCCTACTGTACTCTATGTTCGTTTTTTCTCCATATTCTTCTTTCTCTGCTGTCACATGTTTTCAAGAAATCTTAATGCCACACAGGAGAGGGCGAGTTGAGGCACACTCCAGCAGTGTGACATTTTTTTTTTTGACAGACGGAGAGAAGTAAAACACTGTGTTTATGATTCCTCTGACTGCAGCCAAACAGAACATCTAAAGGTTTAATATTCACACAACTTTTGTCTGCAGTGTTTCAAGTATACTGTATTGTGTAAATTTAAGGGTGAATAGTACTCTTATACGTTATAGGTTTATAATAGGTTATAAAGAAATAATTCCATTTTATTTAACACTCTTCTATAGGTTACAAATTTTTGTATTATACAGGAATATTACTACTGGAACACAATAATTATTATATGTACAGAAATTATATGGTTCGTTGTTTGAATGATAACATAAGACTTTATAATCCTTAACCTGTTTTTTTTTTTTAATTTAGACTAGTCAACTTGAAACGGACCAACAGACTAACAGGCTGAACGAGCGAGGACAACATTTAATGACTGGATAACAATACTGACACAACAGGTAATTTGCTCCATGGTTCTGCTGTACCCTCGTACTGTGACAAGCTCAGCCAGAGAGAGTCCAAACTGCACACACATAAGGCTCACAAGACACTGAACCTTAGGCAACAACTGACCACAACTTATCATCTCACTGCTGAACTTTTCATAACCCCAGATGCCCACAGATGATAAACTGTATGCAGCAGAAGATGAAGGAAGTAAAGTAAGGTACAGTACTGTACAATGATTATATATATATACAAATCAGCAAATATGCTTTAATAACAAAAATGCCTTAGAATTGTATTGCAATTAAGAAATTTGCAATTTAGATAATTAAATTTTATATACCGTATATATATATATATATATGACCCTCTAACGAACACTCGGTTAACGAATTTCGATTAACGAACTGCCTTCCATAAGGATCTCAATTCGTTTAACGGTTTCGCTTAACGAACTTCTTACGAACCGACCTCAACATGTTTTCGCTTGCACTGACCGGGCAACCAGCTTTAGTATCAGTCCGCCAATACATTAATCGGTTCTAGGGCTTAAATTCTTACTATTTTTGTAAATATCAAGAAGTTTATACTATTCAATAATTTTAAAAGTTTAATATTCAATTTTTTAGTCATTTTAACAATTATTGAACATAATTGAAGGTAAAGTGACTAGTTTAATGCGCGGCATCCAGCCTCTTAACACAGCAAACAGGCGTCAGTCTCTCTCTGTTTTCACTGGAGGTAACATCTTGCTTGAGACTCTCTTCAACTAAACGCTTTTTTTCTGTGTTTCCAAGCAAATTATTGGTCATTTTGAAAATTATTTTACATATTGACAATATATAGTGCAGTGCAGTGTTATTTTAAAGAAAATATTCTTTATTTACAGCTAGTTTAACTTTGAAAAATACGTGTTGCCATTGTTTGAATCCAGCATGGGGCCTAAGAGATCAAGAAAAGTGATTTCAATCCAAATGAAGCAGGAAATAATAAAAAAACACGAACAAGGTATTAAATCAAATGCGCTATGCAAAGAATATGGCATGTCGGCATCAACTGTGTCGACAATTCTTGCACAAAAAGACAAATTTAAGGAAGTGAACGTGAGAGACAAATCTACAAGAGTGTTTAAAAGTAGATCCCTAATCGTAGAAACTGAGAGGTTACTTATCATCTGGATTAGGGAAAAACAGATGAAAGGTGATTCAGTTTCTGGTGATTTCATTTGTGAAAGAGCCAGGGAGATTTATGAACATTTAAAGACAGATCAACCTAGTTCTTCAGGAACAGAATTTGAAGATTTTCGGGCTAGCAAAGGCTGGTTCGAAAAATTTAAGAAAAGAAGTGACATTTTAAGTGTTGTTAGGCATGGTGAAGCTGCTAGTGCTGATAAAGAAGGGGCAGCAAAGTTTTTAATTGAATTTAAAAAACTGATGGAAGAAGAAAATTATCTTCCACAGCAAGTTTTCAATGTTGACGAAACTGGGCTGTTCTGGAAAAAGATGCCCAAAAGAACATTCATCACCAAGGATGAAGCCTCTTTACCTGGGCATAAACCCATGAAAGACCGTCTCACTCTATTGCTTGGTGCCAATGCTTCAGGGGATTTCCGACTGAAGCCTATGCTTGTCTACCACTCTGAAAACCCCAGGGTGTTCAAGCAACAGAAAGTGGTAAGAACAATGCTTGGAGTTTATTGGAAGTCCAACCGTAAGGCATGGGTGACAAGACAGTTCTTTAATGAATGGGCTATTGATGTGTTTTGCCCCTCTGTCAAGAGCTACCTAACCACCAATAAACTTCCTGTAAAGGCTCTTCTCCTCATGGATAATGCTCCTGGTCATGACCCTGACCTTGCCAGAAATTTGGAGTATAAATTTGACTTTGTGAAAGTGTTGTTTTTGCCTCCAAACACTACATCACTCATACAGCCAATGGACCAGAATGTGATCAGCAACTTCAAGAAGTTGTACATGAAGAAAATGTTTAGGAGGTGTCATCAGGCAACTTCCATTGATCCTGAACTAACACTGAAACAGTTCTGGAAGACACAATTCAACGTCCTGGAGGCTGTAAAATTGATTGTGTCATCATGGCAAGAAGTCTCCAATAGAACCCTCAATTCTTCATGGAAAGCACTGTGGCCATCAGTAGTCCATGATTTTGAGGGATTTGAGGATGACACAGAGTTGGACCAGGAGATTGTGTCCATTGGTCAGTCATTGGGTCTTGAAGTGGAGGAGAAGGATGTGGAAGAGCTTGTGATGTCTCATGAGGAGGAACTTACTCCTAATGACTTGAAGGAACTGGATGAGATGTTACGGGTAGAGGCTGACAGTGGTGAGGAGGAAATTGAAAGTGATGACCATATGTCAGCTACACAGTTGAAAGATGTGATTTACCACTGGGAGAAGTTCAGGGAACTGGCTTCAAAGCACCCAGAAGTGGAAAAAACTGAACTAGCTTTGTGTCATGTTGAGGACTCAGTGGTCTCCTTCTTTAAACATAAGTTAATGGTGAGGAGGACAGATGCCCCACAGACCACAATTGACACTTTCTTCAGTAAAAGGCAGAGGGAACAAGATGCTAGCCCTCAGCCTTCCACTTCAAGAAGGAGAGAGGATGTTCATGGTGGAGAATCTGTCAGTCCAGAGGTTCCTGACATTTTCATGGAAGGTGACTCACCTTCCAAGAAGCAGTAAAATGCTTCTCCTCCACCTCCACTTCCTTCTCTTCTCCCTTCTCCTCCTGCACCTCCCACTTCAAATGCACATCATCACCATCATCCAGGAGCCTTCTACATACACACCTCAAAGTAAGTAAATTTTTCCGCCATTTTTGTTGAAGTTAGGAAATTTTCGGTGAGCTGGAACCAATTACCCAAAAACCCATTGAAACAATGGTTTCGGTTAACGAACGTTTCGGTTAACGAACGACCTTCTGGAACGGATTGAGTTCGTTAACCGAGGGGCCACTGTATATATATATATATATATATATATATATATATATATATATATATATATATATATATATATATATATATATATATATATATATATATATATATATATATATATATATATATATATATATTGAAATAGGAAAGGCACTTTTTAATGCAATGCAGATTTCAATTTCAATACTGACAGTCATGTTGTGCTTTAGTTTCTACACCATAAGAACTGTCTCCAGTTCAGTACTCGTGTAAATGCTGATGAAAAACAGACTTGTGCACCAAAACATATGGCTAACATCCTTCTTGTATAAAGACATACTAATGCTAAAAACCTCATAAACACTTGTCTTTTGATTATTCCTTTTTTAAGAGAATACGTGAGTGTATCAGTAACATTTCAGTAGTGTCAACAGGCAAGAAAACTGGCTAAAGTCCAAAAGTCAATGGCATTTTCCATTTCCCTCCCCATCCCTCCTATCTGACCCATCAAATTTGAGCATTATCATGATTTCAGAAATGATTATTGTCATTTAAAGACTTCAGTATCCCATTACAGCAGAGCCTGAGCTTGGAAACTTCCTCATACAATTACAAGCAAGTTTCAGCTCAAAAATTATTTAATGTTTTGTCTAATAGTTGCTAGCAGAAACATTTTTAAATTGCCATAAGAGTATCTCATATAATGTCATTTTGTCATCTTGTAGGACTGATCAATAATCCCAATGTATAAGTAAATTAAAAACACCCCTTGCAAATCACTCAAAATTGTAATTACAGAAGATCCTTCCCTACAAGAGTGAATAGAAAACAACCATGGCTAACAACAATTAAAACAACATCTACCAAGGAAACAACCTGAAGATTTTAAGCTTCACAACGAATGACCATTTGAACTGCATTAAAGGTGAGAGAAATATAAGTAAAAACCAATAAAAAATGGCATGCATTTTGGGAGTGTTGAAATAATAAATATCTGAAAGGCAAACTGGGCTATACAACACCGTTCATCGCAATTCCATATTTCTTGTAATGCAAAAATATTTTAATATAATAATGTTCTGACATCCACATTTTACATTAAGAACAGCAGAAAATCTCATTATAGAAAGACAGCACTCCATCCAACAACCAACCTACACATTTTATTTCCATTATGCAAGTTTCTTATGTGAATGAAAGAAAATTTGATGGCTTGTACATAGAACACATAAGAGATTTTTCTGTAAGACATCTCAAAGGAGAAATACATGAAAAACTTGTATGCAACATGAAAATCAATGCTCCACAACTAATCACGTTCACTTCTTGATATCCATAAAATTTTATGCACATCACAAGATCGTATATTTTAATAGTGTCCACAACAAATGTGAGGAAAAGTTTACTGTTCAGAGCATCCAAGGGGATTCAGAAAATAATTCACAAAGTTCAACCAACACATTTTCAGAAGTGGCAGACTAACACAGTGGTTCAGCAGTGGTTCAGTCAAGTTTTCAGAGTGGATCAGCCATGTAGAAAGTTGTGAAGTGGCTGATCATGAAACTCAGATCTTCAAAAATTCACTAAATCAACTGCATTCAACAGAGCTAAATATACATGCGTCTTCAGAAGTGATCGACTAAAACAGACACGCAGTTGGCACCTATATGAGAAGTGTGTGGTGCGTCGGCCAGGGACATATTGGTCCACTGTGCTGGCTGGCCTGTGGGGGTGTCTGAGGACTTAAGGGCAAAACTCCAAGTATTGGGAGACACTGAGGCAGCATGAGGGAGTCGCAGCTCTACAGGTCGTGCAAACTGCAGCCCATGGGGACCACACATCACCAGAGGACTAAGAAGGGTCTCACCTGTAATACCATTACAAAAAGCATTAACTGAATATCTTTAGCATAAATACCATTCTTAACTGGAGTAAGAGCATACAGTACTTTATAAAAGAATACAGTATTGTATCTTAACATCCTGTCACACTACATAGTTCAAAGATTATTTAGTAAAATTATAAGGATAACGATCACTTCCCGGAGCATACGTTAACATCAAATTTTTTGAGGATTCAAACTAGCTTCTGATCATTGATAATTAACCATATAATAACTTTTTAATAAATCCATCTGCCTCTTAAAAAAACACTTTCAAAGAGCAGATTTTATAATATACTTTACATCCATTAAACTTATGAAAGAGAGATGAATGATCATATTATAATTCTAAATTCATAACTTTATCTGCTCATACTTTTTTTTATTCTGAAAGGCAACTCTACAGAGTAGATTGGTTAGTCTATAAGACATTTCTATATGGCCCAAATAATAATGAAAAATATTGGGGAATTGATTTTAAAATCCAATTTTATAACCCAGCCCAGATAGAATGACTTGTAAATGTGCCCACTACAACTTGAGGCTTACATGATAAACTCATCCGAGGATAATATAAATTTTCCCACTGCATTTTAAATTATCTAATTCTGTGCAAGCCAATAATACCCCATTATGGGCCTACCACACTCAACTCATATATTTCAACACTCAGCCTATTCCTCACTTACAATTTAACTGTACTGGAGGAGAGTAGTGCATCAATGTAATAATAATATGTGATAAGTTGCATGTAAACTTTGGATAATGCAGTGCCTTACAGACAACACTGTGCCTTGTAAATATTAGAGAATAATGCCCCAGTGTATTGGGGAGGCTTTTAAGCATTTTAAATCTAAAAAAAAAAAAATATATGGCTACACACATCACCAACATTGTCTGACACCCTGGCACCACACTGTCAGTCACCATTAAATGATATCACCATATGAACAAGGTAAGTGTTCTCACTTTTGTTTTTTGGTCGTTTTAAAAACTTAGCTATTACAGTATTTCAAAATATTATAACTTTCTCATAACTTATTTTTTATGCACAGCATGTAAGCTTAAGTTTTATTGCTAGGTACTGCAAAGGCTAAAACTGAGGGAAGCCTAAACCAATGGTAACTGGGGCTAATCCAAAAAATAGCATTTTCTCCACAACAGCTGTAATCCTTAATAAAGAAAAATAAAGTAGTAAAAGTTGTTTTAAGATTGGAATCTAGAGAGTTATGATCCTCAAAAACCAAATGCAAAGCTCATTCTTCAAATTGTTTAGGCGTAATTATATACAGCTCCACTTTATTTTCACTGCCTCTAAGGTAGACTACAAAGAGAGAGGGGATGGGGAGTGGGAATTGCATTTAAATCTTTCAGGGGAGGTGCAATGGATTAAATGTTGAAAAATGACATGCAGTGTGCTCTTTCTTTGACTTAATCTAAAGCTTGTTGAGAAGAAGCAATGCCAACCCTCCCATGAATTCCAGATGAAATACAATTGCACTTCTAGAAATATAACATCTGTATTGAGTTTGTTTATTTGGATCTAGAAAGGTAATAAAGGCAGTGGAACTTGAAAAAAACAAAAAACATCGACCCTTAGAGGATTGGGCGGGGGTAAAGAGTTGATTAACTTTTAAATTAACCGCAGTCATAATGGGTTAGGGTTTTCCTGACTTACTAAGCGTCAAGCCTTCAGCAGACATATTCACGAGTCATTCTATGTAAATTGAAGTTATATATGTTGGTACTGCTAGTAACAGAGTTAGCATAATAAATTTTTGTTCCACAATAAAATATATAGTGAATGAGTCATATTTCAGGTTACTGTACGGTACAATATAGGTACACGTATTTGTATCTGAATGTTAACTAGTAGAGATGGGACAAATAAATCTGTGAAAATGGTTTCCTTTCTTAGTTGCGACTAAAGTTGAACAGAAATTTCACGTTTAATTTTTTCTCTATACAAATCATAATTATCTACAGTTCTCCTCTACATTACTTAAATGAATACCGTTGTTAGTAAAAAATTCAAAAGGTATGAACCCATATTATAATGATGTTCCCAATGTGTTCTAAAAGTTATAAAGGCTCCAACTTTAAATGGGTACAACTGGGTAAATTTTTTAGAAATAATATACTGTATATGAAATCCTACATCAATTATTTGGCCTTACATATGAAATTATGACAGAACTTAAAAATAATTTGTGAACTTTAAATTTTGATATCACCATTTTGACAGATCTAGTGAACATACTTGTAAGTTCTGACAATAATATAATGACCTCTTGTCATGTAGTACTGTACTTGTATCATATAAAAGAATTTATGTAGAGTCAACACAGCCATGTGTGAACAGCTGAGAGCTTAAATTGTACGGAGTCATTTTTTATTATTATTTTTTTTTTACATCACAGTGAAAGTGAAAGTAGGTCCAGTAGGCATGACTGCCCATTAGGGACAATTTGGATACAGCACACTGTATAGTAAGCCTTCAGTACACAAGGTGGCAGCATGGCTAGTACTGCTCTCGACCACATTCAGTTTCTCAAGTTATAGACTTCGGTATCCATTTACAGTTGGGTGAACTGGGAGCACCTGGGAATTAAACCACTGACCCTTGGAACAGGAGGTGAGTGCTGTATCCGCCTGACCACCGCAACAGTAATAAATGTACAGTGAACCCTTGGAGATTTGGACCTGGTAATTCCAGATTTTGGAAGATTTGGACAAAATTTGGGAGTTCCGGGGGTCAAGATGCCTCTGAGTAAGAAGCATTCCCAAAACAGAGCATGATCATCTTAGGCCCGTGTAACTAATTCGTCAGAACGTGGGACACAGGTGCCCGAGACGGAAAACATAAAGAGAGTTGTCAATTGTTGTTTGTGGGAATATTATTTCATTCACTCTTGTAATGATACAATGTTTCTTATGTTATAGTAGGTAAATGCACGGATTCTATAATTTGTGTATCGCTGTGCCCATCACCGTTTTCAAATTAGACTACAAAATATATATTTCTCCCATATGTGTCTGACAACATACGTCTGGCAACGGGAACAGTAAGGGGAGCGAGTGACTGTGTTTGCTAGTTGGCTCATAGGCTACTATTGCAACTCATCACTCTTCCCTGCCATATTTCACTGTTATTATTAGTGTTTACTGATATAATAATGCTTAACAGTGATTAATCATGGCATTGTAGTGAGGTTACACTCATCACTGTAACCACCAGGCTACTGGGCCAAGCTATGAGGTGTTATGGGTGTTTTTCAACTCATATTTTGGGGTAAATATGCATAACTTTCTTCATTTATTTTTACTCAGTTACATGCAAACACCATCCTACATATATATTGTGAAAAAAAGTAAAAGAAATAATTATCCTAAGGGCAAACACAAAGGGAATATACATTTCTTTGCACACGAGTTAGCTGGCTCAATGAGGGAGCGGGAGGAGAGCGCAGAGTGTAGGGGTGGGGAGCGTTGCCAGGGAATCAGCGTCCCAGATGGTCTTCATTGCTATGGTGAAGCAGGGAGTGTATACAAATGGTGACTGTGTTAAACTTTCATTTGGCTTTTACGGTATTTATTGATTTGGCAATATACAGTATTTTTTGTTTTAACTTATTAATTGGTATTATTTTTATTTATTCCTCACATTTCCTGGTACTGTATATATTATTTTAAGAAAACTATGGCTACAGGAGGAAAATATGCACAAAAGCTTTTTTCCTAAATACTCCCTGATAAAATGGGGGGTTTCTGTATTTTTGGCATTTTTTATATCATTATTTATCATTTTTATACCTGTACATTTAGTACATTTGCCGAAAGATATGGACAATTGGCTTTTTCGGACAGGTGGTCCACCGTTTTAGTCCGGATCTTCGAGGGTTCACTGTATAATCATTATAAAACCAGAAAGTGTCCCTCCCTTAACAATGACTACAAAAGGTCAGCCACCCAAAATGAGTTGAATGCAATGGTTAACCAAAAGTCTTACTAATGGTGAAAAATTGCCCAAAATGATTTACTCCTCCTTAAAATGTGTATAAAGTTTCATGAGAAAAGTTTTCTTCTATGTACAGTACAGTCATAAGAATGGAATGACAAGGATAACATATTCTATCATTGCCACAGCAAAATATATCACCTATATAAGTTAGGTTTAGACTATGAATCATTACACTGGTTCAATTTTTACAGGCAGCATATGGCCACTAGTTTATACAATAATTATCCAAGCTTTTTTACATGACATTTGAGGTGTGAAAAAATATATAATTAACTGTACTGGAAAAAAATACATGTGATTTTATTTATAACAGAATTTGTACATAAAAACTGGGAAAATAGAAGGTGTCCTATGAGAGAAAAAACAATCATATCAACTACAACATTTTCCTGTTAAAACCAACCAAATACAATTAAAAAAATAACAAATCAAAAAGATAAGATAAGATAAAATCCATGGGTTTGCTGCCCACATAATTCACAGTGGAAAATATAAAAATTTTGTACAGGTAAATTTTAACTGCTTTCCCACAAAGTAGACAGTGCAGGTCCTAAATTTTATAAAAAAGAAAATACATAAAGAACCAAATTAGACGATAACATAACCATCCATGTAAGTAAGTAGTCACTAAGCTTACTTCTGAATACTGAACAGGGATGACGTATCATAACGGATAGTAATTTAAACAGATAATAAATGTAAGCGATATAGGAAAATGTATATACATGAAGAGAAATATACATATATAATTAGCAAAGGGTGTTTTGAATGCCTGCTAAACCTGCATAACAATATAAAGAGAAGAAATGGCATTAAAGGGGACAATAGAGAGAGTAATGCTGCTAATGTAGGAGAAAGTGTTCATGACAAAATATAGAAAAATAATCTTTTCCAGTGACACACATGACTAACAAGACACATAATGCATGTTTCCCAAGGTTAAATATGAAATGATATTATAAAG